TGCTGTGCCCTAACCCATTGCACCTCCAGGGAGGACCCTGTAAAGGTGATTTCATAGGCATCAAACTTTCTAATAGGTGGTAAAAGAAGAAGGTTTGGCTGTCAGTCATCACATTACATTTTTTTTTTCATCATGAAAATATTGGAGCGGATTTTGAGTCTGCTATAAAAAACATAGTTTCTAGAATTCAAGTAAGTGTGAGAAAGGCTAGTGAAATTGTTGCAGGTAGGGAAATGGCTTCGCCAATATTAAGGCTAAATGAACTTTCCTTCTAAAGCTAAGGGAATTTAAATTTGGGTCCCTGTAAGTCCTTATGGATGCTTATAAAGATTTTATAAGGAGTTTTAAAAAATAGGTATTTTATAGTTAGCTTCTCCCCCCCCCCCACTCCCCAGTTCTTTCATCCACTCAACACAGATTCACCAAGAAGCTACTATGTACCAAGTCCTTGAATGAGAAATACATATAAGCAGTTCTACTCATTATCGGGGATTGTATTATGATTACTAGATATTGTGCAGCCTGAAACATCTAGTGGGTTATGGTTTCAGAGAGTCCTGCATGTTGAGATGCAGCAATTCTCACTATCAGCAGAGACACTGACATCCACACTGCTAGAACAGGCATGTGGGAACTATTTGAGATGAGTGCTGACCAGAGAGTTTGGCTCCATGAACTCTAGCCCTGGTTCTGCCACACATGTCCAGGAGACCTTGGGCAAGACATCAACCTTTCTGGTATTTTCTCAGCTGTAAAATTAACTTCAGATAAAATTAGTTCTAAGTACCCCTCCAGCCTTTGTTTCCTGGGATTCTCTAAATAAATATTTTAATCCCCAAGAAGTTAGAATAGGGACTAGTTTTTAAAAAGGTCTAGAAATTTTATTTCAGAGGATCTGTGGGAAGCAAGGAACAATTTTAAATTCACTTATTCTAGGTATATAAATTAAGGTTTAGGAAAATGTAAAGACTTTATTTGTTGGAGTGAAAATTTACATCCTGTTTAAGAGAAGTATGAGACTTTTGGTAATGAGAAAAGCCACAAGTATGAGTGGTACTCCAGAAACTTGATCTATAGGAATTGAAGGGAAATTTATTCCACTGAAGAAAAAAAGAGAGTAGCACAGAGGGCTAAGACTGTATCTACAAATTCTGTGCACACTTGGATTTACACAGGACATTTTTGGTTTTCCAAGAATGACAATGGAAATGAGCTCGTTTAATAGAGGAGATTGAAGGTAAACCATCATTTATATAATCAGCTAGTTTATACTCATTTTACAATCAGGTGTTATGAGTTGCTTTTTCTGGTAGGTTACTTTGAAAAGTTAGAATTCATTCTTAATTAGGTGATTGATTACTCTGATCAGTTTGGGGGACTACTTTGTTTCAGCCATTTTAGTTTGATTCAAAACAATTTCAGTGGTTTTATAAATTTGATTCCATCAGGACCCCAAGATTATAGACATTCCAATCTTGTGAAGACCTTTTATTCCCCCTTTCTGCAGATCTACGTGTTTGAAGAATGACTATAAAGAATATCCTTCCTCAAAGAGCAAACATAGTTACCAAAACGATAGTGGAAACTTTTAGTGGCTGCTCTTGGTTGGTGTTGAAATGTGGTCAATTCTCTCTCCCACTCTTCATTCCTTGTCTCTCTAGAAAGGGAAGTTTAACAGGACTCTAATATTGTGTGCTGTAAACTGTTGTTGATGATTGCCAGGTCACTGGAAAATCTTTTTTATTATATCCTTAGGTTTTTGTAACAACTGTGAGCTGGTCCTTCTTAAAAAAATAAAAAATCTCTAGATGCTTTGAATAGTAAGTGTTTCTTTTCTCAGAATATTAAAGTGAAAGATTCTCTAAATTCCAAAGGGCATTCATTCTTCCCCAAAGCTTCTCCTGCCCTCTACTTTTGTTTTCCTTTTCACACAGTTGTTAGAACAATGCGCCTTTCCAAAGAATGCAGTTTAGTCTCAAGATCTGTATATTCTTTAAATTATGCACATATATTTATCAGGTACTAGTGGAAGAGAAGGGCGCTCAGGCTGGAAGGAGGGTTACTTGAGGACCAGAGGTTGTTCCCAATGGCTGTACTTTACTCTGCAATTTGCCATACCAAAGTGGGTGACCAGGGGTAAGAAGAACTGAAATGCTGCTTCTAACTTGCAAATAACTACCCTGCACTGGGTCCTTTGGAAGAGTAAGCGTTGGTTTTGTGAGCCACTAATTAAAAATATATTCTGAGGTCTTTTATGCTCATAATATAGCTTTTAAAATTATAACTGGCAAAGTTCTGTAAGTTTCAATGTGGGACAGACCTAACACCATTTTAGTTCTTGGAACTGAACTGTTCTCTTCTGTTAGAAGAGGGCACACATAGTAAAGTGGGATCTTAATATATTAATCAAAATACTTTCAGTTACTTCAGGATAAAAAGCATGAGAAGAACCCAATTTTTGCTCATTCTGTGTGCTTATATCCCACACAAATAAAGGCAAAAAGAAAGTGCATTTTGTAACAGAGACTCTATCTTTCTCTTTTCCCTGGGTCCTTTGACAGTAGTTTCAAGCTTTCAGTCTCTACTCATCCTGTCCTTCTCTCAGTTTTTATTTCACTCATGGAGATAAGATAGAATACATTCTAATCATGGAAAGACTATTGTTTTATAATTTTGAAACCAGTAGAAAACCTAAAATATGTTTATCAAGGCATAGAACTCTCAAAATCATTAAAGACACACCCAGCCCTAGTATCTCTTGTGAAATAGGAAATTCATGTTCTCTTTTGAGCTACAGTAAAGGAGGGTTCAAAGCCTTCTGGAATGATGTTAAATAGGTATGGCCAGGAACCCAACCCAGGGGCAGCTATAGAATGGCATAGATAAAGAAGATACTCATGCTGTGTTTCCATGTCCTATGCAAAAGGGGAGACACTGTGATAACTATATTGCAACACTACCTGGTTTTCCTGAACACTTAAGACAGGAAGTGTCATCTCACCTGATATGCACCTGTGGAGAGAGATTACTTTTAAGTGTCTGGAAAAGTTAGATCCTGTGCAATCTGAGATGATTCCACCCAGGTTTTTAGGTTGTTGATTTTGATGGTAAATAGGAAAGGCAGTTACTTTTCAACGGTTCATAGCAGGTGATGGACTAACTGCCAGGAAAAGCAGAAGCAAACCTCAGGAGAACACTTTCATCCACAAACTTAGGAAGAACAGGGAGTTCTTTTACACTGTGAACAATTTTTTTTTTTTACTTCCAGAAAAGATAACTTCCATTAAGAGGATCTGATGAATAAAGCAGTATATTTTCACCATTATGATTGGATGGGTATACATTTAAGGGCACCAGAAAAAGAGAATGAGCTTGGGCACATCACATACTTGGCTTGGTCTTGTCCCGTAACCACGCTCTTGTCATGGCTGGTTACCCACTTATATCAGACGGAGTCAAGTATCTCCTTGAGGTAAAGGTGTTTCAATAAGTTCAGTCCACATATTATCTATATAAAATTATAGTAATTTTATATCGTTTTCTTAAAGGAAGCTGCCCTTCTCGCAATAATATTTTCCAGTGAAGCAAAATTTCATGAGACAGAAAGCTTTATATATAACTCATTGCAGCAAAGCATTGACTACCCTCTGCCAATCAGATTTTTGAAGTGCCTCTGTTATTTCTTTGATATGTAAGATATGAAAAGGTTTGGAAGATCCACAGTTAAATGTCTAAATTATTTTAGTTACTTTAGAGAATTTAGTTACAGATTGGTGAATTTTCCCTTTTCAAGTTAAACTGTAATCAAACCAAAAACATAGTGAAACTTTCCCTCTCCTTAAGAACTTTAAAGGCTGAAAAGTGGTTTGGTTTCCTGACTGCCAGCTTTGGTTTATCTTCCTAAGTGGGCTTGTGCAGTTCCCCAGAAGAAACATTTGAAGTGTGTTCTCCCACATGAGAGTGTTTCATCCCACACAACCAACAGATTTTGATGACAAACTTCATACACAAAGTATCTGGTTTTACAGAAGTGACTGTGGAGCACAGGTGCACAAACACTCATTCTCAGATATAAGACACTAGTCTTTAAAAATGAGGGGGGCTTAAACACTAGGTATCTCTGTACTAACTGGGTGCCAAGTAGATTTTAGTGTACTAGATGAAGCAAGAGAGGATGACAAGCAGGGTTAAAATTTCCAAAGCCTTCTAGCTGTTCTTTCTTTATAACTGTTGGGTGTACACAGAAGCATTGTATAATCTGGCCTGTATTTTTCTCTTGCTGTGAAACATATTGAAACGCTTTATGTTTAGGTGTGTGTATAGAAATTCACGAAGTTCTTTTATACACTTTCTTAGTTCCAACACAGTTCTCATTTTAGGATGTCTTGAAAAGGTAACCTTGTGAGCACACGTTTTTCCCAGCCTATAAATTTGTTCTTTTCTAAAATCTACCAGACACCTGATTATTGTCCCTGTGCAAAGGGCACCCGTTCACATAATTTTTTCCAACAGCTTAAACCTGGAAAGATATTTTTTAAAGGACTCACAGAAGCTGTCTTGGGGGTTTGGAAAACATGGCAAAATTGTTAGCAGACCTTTTGACTGTGCTATTTTTAGGACACTAATTGTGTTCTTTCAAAAGTATACATTTTTTGACAATGGGACAAAGTGTTTCTTGCCCCTCTCTATACCTGAAATGAAAAAGTCAGTAAAACACCCCAAACAGTTACATTTTAACCTCAGCAACAGCAACCAGGGGATAAGGTTAAAAAGAGATTTTTTTTTTACAACATTTATACGACTGTTCCCGGCCAAAATGACTTTTCTTTTACCATTCAAACAGAAGTTTGTTTTCAAACCAGTTGCTAGTTAAAGGAGCAGTTGATCTGGCATCCATAAGAATCAGCTCTAACCAAACAGTAAGTCTGTTGACCGCAGGAGACTCATTCCCCCCACAGCAACCCCTCGGAGGCCAGATGCCTGCAGAAGTGTTATCTTACCTTCAGCACGTAAGGTCCAGGGAGAGAAGCTCAGGGGCTCCCACAGGAGAGGACAGGGAATGTGCTCTGATCCACAGCCGCTAACATGCACTTGGCTTTTATGGGCAGGTGGGAGGAGCTGCTCCTCATTGTAGGTGGGCAGGGAAGGGGCGGTGGGCAGGCAGCCCCGGGGGGAGCTGGACACTTCTCTGGGGAAGGGTGGAGAGGGCAGAGCCGAGAGCCCCAAAGAGGGAGGAGAGAAGGGGAGGAGGGAGCTAAGGAAGGAGTGGAAACGAGAGAGGGGGGAGAAAAAGAAAGAAGAGAAATAGAAAAAGGATGTAGACCATAGATAGGGAGAGATTTGGGAGAAGATGAATAGGAGAAAGAGAAAGATACTCAAACACTGAAGATCTAAAAGGACGGGGGAATTGGGTTACGTTTTGTATTATTTTCCTTTTCTTTATTTGATGGGGGAATTATAGATGATTTATTACTAACGGCGTTTTGTGCGAATTTGAAAAGCTAAATAACGGTTCAGGAAAACTGCAGGATTCATAAGGAAGCAAAGGAGGGGAGTCTGGGCGCCTGAGAAGCAAAGCCAGCTGCTGGTAGACGCGCTGCAAAGGGCTGAGCGGACCTAAGCGGGGCGCGGGCTTTCCTCCGCGCCCTCAACACGAATCCATCCCTCAGCCCTTAGGTAAAACCTGCCCCAACACGCCTCACTTCCTACATTAGTTGCTTGTCCTCGTGCTGCCGGTGCTGTTCAGTAAGCAAAGGCTGCCTTAGAGACTTCTGCAGCATTAAGGTAAATCCAGGCAAAGGCTGGGGAGGATCAGGAGAGATTGGCTTGGGGAAAAAGGAACCTCAAAACCGAGCCTCCATCCTCCAACATCTGCTTATGTAACAGGATTTCAGGGCTCTCTGCCCTCTGGTTATTTTCGGTATTTAAAAAACTTTCATTCCTTGCAGTTGGAAAATGTCTTGGTGCCCTACCTCTGTGTGTGTGTGTGTGTGTGTGTTAAACACAGCAGATTCAACTAATGTAAGACTTAAAGATCAGGCTGAAATTCTTAAGAAGTACATCCAGAGAAAGAAAAACAAGCGCCTTTAGCTGTGGAGTGGTGACTCACTTCCCAGCCCAAACTTGATTTTTGCAACCAAAGGATTAAAACATTTGAAAAGAGAGAACCTGAGAGGGGTGGGTGGGCTGGGAAGAATAAAGGGACTTTTACTGAATAGAAGTACTTACAACTATAATTGTATATATGTATATATATATAAAACATATATGAAATCATATATAATTATACAAGTATACTTATATAATTTATTCAGTGTTCACCACAGCCTTATGAGGTAAGTATGGTTCCTACCTTATGAAGTAAGTATCGTTCATATGGTGTAGATTTTTTTTTTAAAGGAAGAAATTTCTAAGGCGTTAAACAGCCAGCTCAAGCTAACAAGAGGGGTCACATAATTCCTTGTTATAGAGCCCTCAACTGTGTATTGTAGAATGCTGGGTAGTGTCTTTGCTCTCTACCCATGAAATGCCAGTTAGGAACGACCCCAGCTCCCCAGTTGTGAAAGCTGAACATGTCCATACACTTAGTAGAATGTCTTGGGTGTGGGGGGAGGTCTATTTTTTTAAGTGTTACTGGCCTGGAGAAGATCCACAAGTACAAAAAAGGATTTTAAAGAAATCCATTAAGAAATGCCTGAGAGTGGCATTTGGGTAATAATAATACTGCCATATGTGCTAGGTTTGAATATTCATATTCAAAGCCCCAAACCTCAATTGCTTCCTTTGTGTCTAAGTTTATTCTCAATTGGATACACCTGTGAGTCAACAACATTGCACCTCAAGTACCTGGAGAATAAAGGGAGATTAATGATATGTGAAATGAAAAATTTTAAGATCTTTATTATAGGCACAAATTTGACAGTAGAAAAGTTATCCAACTGTTATTCATAACCTTTTATGACATGATTTGCCCTGTTATTGATACTTTTTTCATCTCTTTGTCCTGAATTCAAATTTTTGACTGTGCAGAAGTGATACTTAGTAGTTAGTTAACAGGAAATAGGTGCACAGTAGTGACTGATTGAATAAATGGAGCTGTTGAGCACTTATACATGGAGAAGTGGCAGTACTGATTAGTTTCACAAGTGTATATAATGAATAAAGTGAACACTTAAAAAGCTAAATCTTTCAAGTTAATTTTTCCTGCCCATTTGCTATTTGGTTTTACTTTCCTCTCACCCATCATTACTCAGTTTCCCCTCTTTCCAAAAACAGTATGCTTGTCTTTTAAAGATAGGGCAAAATTCATTGTAAAAAGTCTATGAAAGAATGACCCTTCTTTCTGGACCTAGAACTAGGACTGCTCTCACAGTTCTAGGGCTGATGCCTGAAATCATATGTACTTCCTCTGGTACTTTTTAATTTAACCAATAAACATGCTGGCAAACTAAATAGGACCCTGTGAAAGGAACATCTGGGTAATAAACATACATACCTTCTCATGTTGTAGCAAATCTTCCTTATTTTTAAATTGAAGTAAAATTGGTTTACAACACTGAATACAACTCAGAGGTATAGGATCACATCTTTTTGATTCTGATTTTATGTCTTCCAAGCAACCTAGTTCCATCACAAAGTTGTGAAAAATAGAAACAGTAAATGAAGAAAAGTATATTTGAAGGGTAGGCAATTGAAGGCTGTGTTTTAATTTTTTCCTTTTTCTTCCTTCCCTCCTTCTTTCAAACCTGAATATCCAATGAACATAGTAACAAGAAAGCTTGTTTTTTTTTTTTTTTTTTTGGATGGTGGTAATGATTGTTCATTTCTCTAGTTTACACTTGCCTGAATCTGATTCAGTAGCATATCTGGACAACAAGTCATGAATCCAGGAATGTGGTCTCTTTGGCGACTCTCAGCATACTCTTTAAATAATCTTTCTGAAGGTGACTGAGGTTTGAAATGACCCAGTGTGGTCTTTTGTGGAAAGAAAGGAATCCAATGGCAACATACTAGATGCTCTGAAGTTTCCATTGTGTGAATATAATAATAGCTACAGATAATTGCCTATTTTCAAGAGCTTTGAAATGTATACTTTTTGGGCTCATTTAGAACTAAGCAATTAATATTTACTAAGAATAGATACAGTGGCAGGTATTGAAGCAGAGGAAAACAAGGAATAGATCTGATCTATGGAGGAAATAAAGATATGGCAGCCTTTCAGTTGGGTAGCCAAGAGCGTCAGGGAGGAGATGGCATTTATGCTGAGCCATGGATACAGCATTTAGTAGAGGGGTAGTGAACAGTAGGGCAAAAAGGAAATGTGCACAACTGGAAAAATCACAGGGATATTTGGAAAATGGTGCATGACTGAAGGGAGGGGTCCATGTAGCAGAACAGTGAAGCTTTGAAGCAGGAAAGGAGGTATGGGATCAGCCTGTGGAAGGCCTCAAATGTTACCTCACTAGTCTGAACTGTTTCCCGTAGGCGATGAGGAGTCATTGAAAGCTTTTGGATAGTAAAATGGGAAAATGGAAATAATGACTGATTAATGAGGACCATTTTTCTTTGAATATGGTCTTTATAGTAGTTTTGCAGATAAATGCTTGCTGGTACATCCAGGACCATTAGCATACTTCGAAAGGAAAAAGTGAGTGTGTATATCCTGGAGACTTAAGAGTCCTGAGGAAGGTGGTTGAAACAGATGGTTCTAGAGTGTCTCTCTAGTGTCTTGGGTAGTTGTAACTAGACCAGAAGGCTAGATTTGCAGGGTATAGCCAGGATGACAGATGAGATTAATGTGAAGGGGGACATAGGTCTGTGGATCAGAGGGACAAATCTCTTTCATCTCTTGTAGCTTTAAGATCATTGGAACGTATCTATCTCCAGCTAATAGGTGTGTATCTTTACTTTTCAAGGGTTTCTGAATTAGAACATAATGGAACCTTGCATGAAAGCTTAAACTAAAAAAAAAAAAGTCAATATTTTCACACTTATGCTTTCAAACAGCTAACTTTCAGTCATTTTGTGTGTTATCCTTGCAGATCTCAACTTCCAATTCTTCCTGCCCAAATGCTTTACAATGCAAATAAACATGACTTTTGATCTAGGCAAAAAAAAAAAAAAAATCACTGACAATTTGAAATATGATGTACAGAAATTTGCTTTCCATTTATCAAATGACCTATCAGTAAGTCTAAGCTTGTGCCAAGTTTCACCAAATATGATGTTGGCCTGCAAGGTATATCAATTGCCAGCTCTCTCAGGGCATTTAAAATAGGGCTTTATTTACAAAAATTGTAAAAGCTTTACAGCATAGAAGGAAGGCACACCTCTCTGCATTCCAGAGGAACATTGGGTTCTGTGAGTCACTGTTTTCCTTTTGGCCCTGCGGAAGAATGCTGACTGATTTGGGTGATCCCACAGATGACTGCCTGTTGCTCCTGCTGGTTTTATAAAGATCACTGGATGGAGAGTTAGGCAATCTGGGTTTAGTCCCAGTTCAGCCACTAACTGCCCGTGAAAACTTGGGGCAGATGTTTTATCGTTATTGGATATAGCACCCTATGCATAAAATAAGGAGACTTAACCAGACATTCTCTAAAGCTCTTTCCACATTTCATATGCCTGTTCTGTACCAGCTGGGGATGCTCGTCTTACTCAACGTCCCTATGAAGTCCACCAGACATTAAAGGGCACACATGTTCAATATTAGGCATAGGAGTATGGGCTCATAATACATTAGTCTGGTATTTACCACAAAGGAATTACACCCTAACATTAAACCTTGTTGGGCTTCTAGATACAAAGTGCCAAAAGATGGGGTATACCATTGCCACTTAACTAGTTCTAACTGCAAACATTCTAAATTTCAGGACTCTGTAGACATCTCCTAGGTTTAGCTATCAACACCTTGAGCCATGAAGTCTAAACCTCCCTCTCTGAATCATGGAGTAATTCTTTTGATTGACAGAAATGTAACCACACCACCAGATCTTTGGTTTCTGAGAGTAAATCTGTGACTGATTTACTTGATGTCCAGATAGACTGATTTTATTTCCTAA